CAGTGTTTGTGCACTGGAGGCTTCACATGATTCCCTGCACTTGTGTAAGTTGCATATTTATAACTTATATAAAACAAGACAGATTTAAATACTCAGAGAATGACATTAACATAAAAGGAAACAGTCGCTGGAAACAGAGTAAAACACACAGAAGTAACAAAACATAAACAAAATGACATAAAGGTGAAAAAAGCGTGTTTCTGAAATTCATTTCAAAGAGCAGGCAGGGTTTGCGTCCCTGATCCCCTTCAGGCAGGTTGCTCATTTTAAACATGATTTGCCTCCAAACAAGCTGTGACGTAACACAACCTGGCTGTTTGTCTTAAGTTTAGCAGAGAGAAACGCTTTATCCTTAGACAAAGCTGAAGAGAGCCTTCTAGTGTCAAACTGCACATAACTCATTCTGCAGTTCGAATGTCAAACATCCAAGAGGACGAGTAACACAAACAGAGGGGGACTTTTGAGGATGTGAGTGCTTCTTCCAGCACTATCTAAAAATACAAAAAAGAAACATGTATTATTAAACCCTCATTTAAGGCTTTTACCAGCAGCATTCACTCCTGAGCTAACTTTAACTAAAGCCATAGCAACACTAATAGATATCCTTATTTCCCTCCACTGATGACCTTGTCCATTCTCAGCCATTTAAATAAACACGTTCACGCCGACGTCGCTTCCGATCTCGCTCCTATTCAATATCTGCGCGGCTCCTCTGTGTTGCTCTGTGGATGATTCACCCACCCCTCACCGGAGGCTCATTGTGAACTTCAGAACACATCAGACGTCAGACACAGGGGCCGTCAGCTCTCATAATGTCAGACCACTATAGTGAGCACGGGCATGAGATCTATATCTCCCCCTGTATCCTTCTCCTCACCCCTTTCTCACTCACACACACTTTACTTTACACAATCCTCACTGACATCTCAGGACAGAATTCCAATGAATAGCTGAGGATGTTTTCCTTGAACCACACACAGATTCTACATTTAAACTAATGTGTGGACGGGAAGCTCATTCCAAGAGAAAAACTAATAATGACTTTTGCTTTATTATGAAGATTTTGAGGTCAAATATAATCCTGTTTCATCCACTGCCACGAGTGTGTTAAATGAGCGGAGATATGTACAGTAGGAGGGGGAAGGACGAGAAAGGATAACATGACAAGCTGTGAAGCGTTCATCATCAATCTGACATTTGTTCTTTTGTTATTGCACGGAAAACTTTCCTTTCTTTTCAATTGCAAAGTGGTAACCTTGTCACGGTCAAACGTTGTCTGAAATCAACTGGGTTTACTTTATTGTGTGTGTGTGTGTGTGTGTGTGTGTGTGGTGTGTGTGTGTGTGTGTGTGTGTGTGTGTGTGTGTGTGTGTGTGTGTGTGTGTGTGTGTGTGTGTGTGTGTGTGTGTGTGTGTGTGTGTTTCTCAGAGGCCATCTAGGCGATGAAAGAAAATACAAAGCACACATGCGTCATCTGCTTGTGCTTGGGTTAAGACGTCACCGTTTTATCCTGCCATTGATTCATTTAGCTGAAATATTGAGCGTTCATGCTAGATTATTCTGGAAATTCAAAGCTATTTCAGATAGTTCAAAACTGTTTAATTGGTCTGGTTAAACGTCTAATGTGTCATCAGCTGAAAAATATTGACATTGCCTCATTTGAGTCAATTAAACCCCTGTTGTTTCTCCTCTGACTCATTTATCTCTGTCCTCTGTCTCTCATTGATTTCCCCTCTCAGCCTCAGGTCTGCATGAATATTTAGTATCACCACGCACACGCATGTGCTTCAAACTGCATCCCGTGCCGTTGAGTGTGCAGGTTTTTACATTTCACTGCCTAATCCTCATCTCAAAAAAGGGATTTAACCAAAGAGAGACATTTTCTGCCTCCTCCTTTGCCAGCGCAGATATAAAAATATCCAACTGTGTCTAAAAATAGCCTCGTATACTCTAGACATACTGCAGGCATATGCTGTGATGAATATGATGATTTCCTTCCCTCTCATTTCCACCCAGCTCTTTCTCCTTATTCCTCTCATTTTGTATTTTGTTGTTCTGCATGCCTCCTCTTGTTTCACTTCTCAAACATCATCAAGGTCAGTGTGACCCCGGAGGAGAAGAGGAGGAGATGTTTTAGAAAAGGCAAAAGGAGGAAGACAGGAAATGTCATTGGGCGAGATGACTAAAAGGGAAACCAGGCGATGAAGTGAAGGGCAATTTGTTTTTGAAGACCTTTCCTCACATTGCCTTCTGATCCGTCTCGTGGGAGCAGGGAAGTTAGAAGTGTTTGCCTTGCATAACAATCAGCAGGTCTGCCAGCACTTCTATTTATTCTTTGTCCTCCTCCTGATTTACTCGCTTCCTTCTCTTTCTTCCCCTGCCCTCTCACTCATCCTGTCTCACTGATGTGACACACAGTGGACCATTAATCCCTCTTTCACTCACTCACACACACTCACACTCTCTGCATTCAGACCTATTAGAGCGAGCAGTGCTTGCTCCCTCTGCTGGATAAAACACAAACTTTCATCTACATTTCATTTGAAAAGAAAATCATGTCCTCACTAATAGAGGACATGAACCACATTTACAAATTCCTAATGAGTTTTTTTTGTTGTATCTATGCGAGGTCGCTGAAGGGCACACAAGCTGAGGGATGTGGTGATTGTGAGGAAATCTTAAAATAGAAACGGATATTCTACAGGGACAACAAAAAGTGCTTATGCTCTGCCCTTAGTCAAGGTGTGTTATATAACCTGGAAGGCCTGAATGTGCAGAAAGAATATGGTTTTGTTTGTGCTTTAAATATATGCATTTTGTAAAATAAGAGTGTGTTGTCTAATGAAACCTTGCATCAACCTATCTGTAACATTGTTGCTGCAAAAGGCATTCAAGCAGCTAACCACATCTCACGTTTGTCCTTATTCCAACCGCTACACTAGCCTCTCTGGTAATCATGATTCATCTTGTGAATATCAAAGTGCGCAGTAGAAATTGGTAGCTTGGAAAAACATGCGTACCCGAAGGTAACTTGATCTTTTATTCAACCGTTCCTTAAATGTGCTCTGTCAGGTGGCATGCTTGCCAAAGGATTTGAATATGTTTACCAAGGCAAACAAAAAAAAGCCACTCTGCCCTCCTCCAGTCTCTCGTATTCAGGTCTTGACGGGCTATTTTTAGCGCCTTCCACTGGGAACGAATGAGTTCTGTTGGGGTTGTATGCAGATCTTGATGTTACACAAGAAGAATATTTGAAATAAACAATTGTAGTGTGTAATATTTCACCATTCTTTCTACGTAGTGCTGCCAGATCTATTCAAGGAGCCTTAAGGGCATGTATTATGACTGTGAGGTCGCTAAAATAAAACAGCTTGGTGTAAGATGCTGAGTAGGTGCAAAAATAACTGTCTCTTCCATCATTTTTTTTCTTTGACCATGTTTTGTTCTCTCTTTCACACAAACAATTATGCATGACTGAGTGCACAGTCAACTCACACATCTATCTCGACAGCTGATATGACTTATCTTCACATTACAGAAAACCTAACTCTAGCAGCTACACTTTTTGATGTTTTTAATGTGAAGTACAACTGAGTAAACCTCTTGGTAGATTCCCATCACTAAACATCTTTCATAGCTACATTTACCAATTAAACTATTCAAAAATATAAAGGATTGCTTACTGTTGCTTGAAATTGAGTGGAAAATAAGAGATAATAAGCAGAAACGTCAAAACATCCGCTATTTCCAAAAGCTGGTGGAAAATAATGGAGATAATAAACAGGAACATTAGGTGCCATTTCCACCCAAATCAGCAGCTCTAGAGATTGTATATAGTACGTCACTGCATGGATTTTGCCTCACTGGAACCCCTAAGACTGATTGAAGCTCTGGCCTGGATTGAGAGGAGTTATTTCTGGAACACATTAGCATTCACGGAGGTAATTGTCTCCTCTCCAGCTTTTTTTATCCTCAACGCAGAGAGAAGGATTTCAATTAAACAAGAAAAGAGAAGGGGGGAGAATAGACAACCCTGCTGTACTGGATAAGTGCACGATGTGTCGGAGTCACAGGAGAAGAAGTGAGGAGGAGACGGGTGTATTAGTGGACAGGTGATGCGGGGAAGAAGAGAGGCACAGTTTATCTGCTGCTGACCCTCACTCACCAACGTTAGTTAAAATGTCTTAAGTGAAGATTATATTTCAGTGTTTACATTTGACTTACCTGTCATTATTGTGTCTTTTTGTGCATGACAAGCGCTCATCACTGAAAAGTGTTCCACACTGAGGGAAAGTTGATCCCCCTGCTGTTATCAGGTGACAGGCACAATGAAAGCGGCTGTATTCAAATTGGGACGCATGAGAGACTGCAGCCCCCCCAGCTGTGAAACTGATGGATACCAGATACATACAGGAGTAATATTGACTGGATGCATGCATCAATTTTTTATTTGCTCAACTGGGGTGACTGGAGGTTCGATCACACATGGCTCCCAGCTTCACCTGTGACCCTCCACCTGCCGTCAGCCCTGGAGTTTCTTATAAACATCAACAAACAGATATTTGCCAATAATAAAGTACATCAAAATGTCCCTTTGCCTAAAAAACACCTTGCCTTTGTTATACTGGGATCTGTGTGAAGATATTGGACTGTATTAGTTCCTATCCTATCATTTCGATAAGGATTTATACACATTATATTAGCCATTTTATTTTATCATCCCGCACCATATGGCTCAAATAAATCTGTGTTTAGGCTTATCACAAACTTTCAATGTTTTATCCCTCCCCCAAAAAAGAGACTAGATAAATGAAAAAGTTATCCAAATTAAGCTTTAGTGTCTCCTTAATTGTATGTCAGTTCCCATCAAATGCTGCTGTTTCCAAATGTGGCTCCTCATTATGTAACACAATGAGCTTTCAGTAATAAATTAACTTGACTCCCATTTCAACAAACAAACGTATTCTTATGCACATGTTTCAGAAAGTTTCTCCTCTTACCTGCCCAAAGACTGACTTCACTATGGGATGGAGGACGGAGTCAGACGCGGTTATGCTGACTCTCTTGGATGTGCGGCTGGACTTCGCAGGTGCTCTGGTCGCAGGTGGGTCGGAACTGAGGCTGGAGGAAGACCCGGTGATCACCCTCTCTCTGGGCTCGAAGAAGAAATCCGCATCGTCCTGTCCTTTTGGGTAAGACGGAACCGGAGAGGTCCTCCTGTCCTGCGGGGAGCCGTGCTGGAGCTGCGCTGCGGGAAGCGGCTCACCTCGGGAGGAGTCGTGAGGATGATGCCTGGTCCTGGTGGACTTGCTGCGCTCTTTCTGGAGCCGACTCGCCCTGTGCCTCGCTTCCTCCTGAGCGTACCCTTCATCCTGGAGGCTCGCCTGCCGGTGAGAGTGGCTCTTCTGCCCCCGGTGGTCTCCTCCACTTCGAGACACCTCTGCGTGTCTCGGTTGGCAGAGAGGTCTCCGCGCACTCTCGCAGTCCTCGGTCCAGGCTCCATCCTCTCCCCCGGTGGGGTGGTGCTGGACGTGGTGCTGACTCCGGTGATCCTGCGGACCCGACTTACGGTTGTGCTCCCCCGAGGATTTCAGCAGGGAAGTAGTGGACTCGCTTTTGGGGAAAGAAGAACTCATCGTGCGCTTCCTCTCGCAGAGTGAAGATTCTGCAGGCTGGCGGGCGCGTGAAAGAAAAAGAAGGCAGTCCTTCGCCACGTGCAGGTGTTCAGCATCAGTTAGTTGGACTTGGCTCTAATCTACAAACCCGAGCATCACTGCAGTCCACAGGAGGGAGAGGAAGTGAATGTGAAACAGTGACAGTCAGACTATTTTGGATGACACGCGCCAAGTGCATAGGACTCACGTCACTGCAAACTATTTCCCTCACTACTAGCCTTTTGGATTTATCTAAGGTTGACTGCATTGATTTACTGTAGAAGCCCCTTGTCAGCGTTTCTGTTCATTAAAGTGTTTACAAAAACATAATAACTAACCACCATCAATGGACCAATGAGACAAACAGACTTCATATACATTAAACTACTGTGGACTGTGGAACTAAAAGACAAACAAAGGGTTAAAAAGGTTTTAGAAAAAAGATGACAAGTAGGTTAACCAGGAATCTGTCTTGGTGTTTTTGGTCCATACATAACAATAAATACATGAATATAACAGTGATAAAAAAAATCTATAGGGAAAACTTTTTTTTTAAAGGGGCGGTAGGACATCAGCATTTTGGTACTAAATGATCTGAAAGTTATCATCACAACAATTACAACACATTCATAAAACTCACTCTTTCAAGCAGATTCTCCCCAAATATCACACTTTAAGTTGTACAGGTCTATTTGTCAGGGGTCCTAATTAAGGGAACTTTTTTGACTTCATTGGTAAAATAAAAAGTACACCTTCCCTTTTTCTATTTTATTTTTGAATGTCATATACATGACAACAGCATTCTTAAGTTTACTTCCCTATGATATTTTCATTGACTTTTTAACAACAACAACATTCATTTATATATACATGCAATACAATAAGCTTTCCAAATGTCATCTATTTGACAGACAACATGGTTGGACACAGAAATAATACCAAAGTAAACATGTTGGAATATTTTACCGTGGCTTACTCAAAATAGAAAGTTCAAAAGAAAACAAACACGGAAAATAAAAGCGTGACCATCTTTAAACCTCATCCCATCTGCACACCTACGGTCATAATTCTCACAGCAGATGTCCGGGGATGCAGGCAGAGTGTGTAATGATGTCAAAACATGGAGCCAATTAGAGACTCAAGCTCTCACGAACTGTGTTTCACAGTGCAGAGCTGAGAAATGAACAGATTGTTGCCCTCCTCTCTGGGGAATTTTTGTTCTCTGACATCTGTGTCTCCTCTGCTCCAGGGAGAGGCAAAGTATCTTCACTCCATCGCTCCCATCCTCCCCCCTCTTCATCATCGGCCTGCTTAAACCACTCTACCTTTTTTCATCCTTCGTGCATCTCATAAAGTGCTGCTGAGCCATTGTCTCTTTCAGGTGTCACACTATCCCTTACACTTTAACCAGCCTCTTATTTACTATGACAACCAGTAATATTCTGTGTTTTTATCTCAACGTTTGGAAACCTTTTTTTTTAGAACTGGTAATTACCAGTTAATGTGAATATTTTCATGAACATTTTTTAAATCTCAAGCACTTTCCCTTTATGTTCACCTCCCATCCTCCTGCTCTCCCCTTCTGTAGACATTGGGCTGCAGCAGGGGACATGGTACAAGCCTGAGGGTGCAATCTGGTCCATTTAAGAGAAAAAAAAGAGAGAATAAAAAACGAATTAGAATCTTTAAAAAAATAGCAGCATAGAAATAACAACATCATTTTACTCTTTTTGGGCTGATGTCACATTCTATTTTTGCATGTATTCCCCAGTCCAACCCAACATCACCATCTCACAGTGGGGTCGGATGACCAAACCATCTTTTATGGCAAGTGCTGCACATCTGACAGCTGCTGCTCTGTGTTTCCAAACAGCGCAGTCAAATATTATTTCAGTTCACAGTTCTCTGAAAGAAAAACTAAAAGAGGATTTTAGTGTAGTATTAGTACAACTGTAATATTAAAAAAAATGGTTAAAATAATGGTGACATTTAAATATTCAATATACATTTGGTCGGTGTGTACCGGCTGCTAGTGTGTGTGGTGGTAGCGCTGATGGACCACATACTGTAGCTCTGGCTGTTGTTTTTTTCAGTGTTCATGTAAAGAATGAATTGACTAAAACAATCTCAGTTCAGGGGGTCCCCTAACTCACGTATTATTCAACTCAATCATCTCTTCATAAGAAGTAGAAGATGACTTTGACCTGAGATTGTCAAGGTGAATAAAAAACGTTTTGCACATACCAAAATATTGAATTCTTACAATAAGAAACACCAACCTCTTTGATAAAAGTATAAGCACATAAGATATGTGAGTGTACATAATGAGTAAGTTGATTACTGATTATCAATTTAAAAAGAGTGTATGGTGTGAAAAACATATATGAAATGGTAATGTGTTTTCTGTAGCACATTCTATGTCTGAGAAGAAAGTAGAAAAATCAAACAAAGCTGACGTGAAAACAATTAATGTTTCGCTGACTAACCGTGTCCCTGATCCCACCTTGCAGCCTTATTAACCTCGTCCCCTGCGGAGTTATTATATAGGGTTAAATCAGCAGGGCGAATAATTAATAACATAGCAGCTCTGTGCCTACAAGGTGAAGAAAGAGCTCCATCAACTGAATCATCTAATGAGCCCTTTCTGTTGGATGTCATGTTAAAAATGTTTTGAGAAAATGTGAATGTTCAGATAGCAGCCTTTTGGTCATCAATAGGCTGACATGATGAAGAACTGAATGATCCATTAAACCACTTCACAATGCATTTATTAATCAAATGTTTATTCATTCATCATAACTCTCTAGTTTTACATTAAACAAATAAATGAGTTGTTATTTAGTTTCTAGACCATCATGTGGTAGATGCTTAAACAAAGGTGACCACTTTTTCTTGGAGTCTAATGGAAATATTTCTAAACATTTGAAATGATCACGTGTTGTGTTTACATAAAACGCCTTACATAATGGGCCCACTTAAATCGTTGTTGTAACCCAACTAGTTCAAGAGGAGGAAATGTAGTTTACACAGTGGTCTGAGAAACAGAACACATTTATATATACAGTAAATATCAAAGATTCAAGAATCTTAACTCTTGTAAAATAAGTAATCAAGCGCAGATGATGTTGTCAAGCATATTAAAACAATCAAAGTGTCCCTCATCACTGTGCAACATTTTCAATCCAATCCAACTTTATTTATATAGCACATTTAAAAACAACAGAGTTGACCAAAGTGTATAAAATGCAGCATAAATACATTTAGACAAAACCGATAGGACAACAAAACAAATGTAAAAGCACGAGACAATAAAACCATACCACAGACTGAAAAACTCTCATACGCGATGTAAAAACATTTTAAAACACAACAAAATAGAAACCCCCAATTTAGAAAACCCAGCGTTTAGAGTCACTTGACAGCTCATTGGACACATTAAACAACAAACAACTGTCAAAAACCCAGCACCCTTGTTCTTCAAATAGCTTTTTTAATGACATTATGATGTGTTCATGTCCTTATTTCCAATCAGCCACAGCTGTATGAGGGAGGCATTAATGCCTTTGAGCTTAAACTGCTTAATTTCCACCCACTCCAATAATGGTTTCATCACAGTAAATGTAGGGCTGGTGAAGTTCAATCAGTGAAAAACTGTTACCAGACCCAGCAGGAGGGTCTCACTTTGAATGTGGTGGATAAAGAGAGAGGAGAATAAAGAGTACTGCAACTTACTAATGAATTTAAAGGTGTTCTTCATGAAGAACAAAGACACCAAATGCAGCTGCAATTCAAAGCACAATGTTTACATCTGTGGTAAGTTCATGGACATATTGACCACAATGATGTTCACAAAATATTATGAACAAGAAAGAGCTGTGTGCAAAATATATACCAATCAATGTATCTAACTTTATGTACTAATGGATTCAAATCAATAATTTGCACGAAAATGTAATCAATATTTTAATATCATTTTAGTTTTATGGTTTTAGTTTCTCTCTGTTAGTTTCTTCCTCTCTGAAGAACCAGCACCTTACCGTGGTAGAGAGGTTTGTGTGCCCTGATGAACCTGGGGGCTGTGTTGTCTGGCACCTTGTGTTCCAGGTAGGGTCTCCCATGGCAAATTGGTCTCAGGCAAGGGGCCAGACTAAGATTGGTTCAAAAGACCTCATGAAAGAAAAAACAAGAAGTGAGGATACCCGGCCCAGAGGAAGCCCGGGGTCCCCTTCTGGAGCCAGGCCCAGAAGGAGGACTCGTCAGCGAGCGTCTGGTGGCCGGGCTTGCCACGGAGCCCGGCCTGGGCCCAGCCCGAAAAGGCAACGTGGGCAACACCTCCGCTTCTCCGTCCCGTGGGCCCACCACCTACGGGAAACAGCGATGGGGTCGGGTGCGCTGCCAGAAGGGTGGCAGTGAAAGCGGAGGGTCTCGACGGACCAGACCCGGCGGCAGAAGCTGGCTTTGGGGACGTGGAACGTCACCTCTCTGGGGGGGAAGGAGCCGGAGCTTGTGCGGGAGGTGGAGCGTTACCAGTTGGATCTGGTTGGGCTCACCTCTACGCACAGCGTTGGCTCTGGAACCTTACTTCTGGATAGGGGTTGGACTCTATTCTTCTCCGGAGTTGCTCAAGGTGTGAGGCGCCGGGCGGGTGTGGGGATACTCACAAGTCTCCGGTTGGGTGCTTCGTTGTTGGAGTTTACCCCAGTGGACGAGAGGGTCGCCTCCCTACGCCTGTGGGTTATGGGGGGGGAAAACTCTGACTGTTGTGTGTGCTTATGCACCCAACAGCAGTTCAGAGTATACGGCCTTCTTGGAGACCTTGGTAAGAGTCCTGTATGGGGCTCCTGAAGGGGACTCTTTAATCTTGCTGGGAGACTTCAACGCACATGTGGGCAATGATGGAGACACTTGGAGGGGCGTGATTGGGAGGAACGGCCCCCCTGATCTGAACCGGAGTGGTGGTTTGTTACTGGACTTCTGTGCTAGTCATGGATTGGCCATAACAAACACCATGTTCGAACATAAGGATGCTCATAAGTGTACGTGGTACCAGAGCACCCTAGGCAGAAGGTCCATGATCGATTTCGTTATCGTATCATCGGACATGATGGGTAAAGAGAGGGGCGGAGTTGTCAACTGATCACCATCTGGTGGTGAGTTG